GGGGAGGTAACTATATCTATCTTCTATTGTATGTGGATGACATGCTTATCGCTTCGAAAAGCAAGGCGGAGATAGATAGGTTGAAATCTCAACTTGGTAAAGAGTTTGAGATGAAGGATATGGGGGCTGCTAGGAAAATACTGGGTATGGAGATTAGAAGAAAGGGGACGAATCGGCGAATGTTCTTGAGCCAGAAAGGCTACATTGAGCGGGTTATTGCTAGGTTCGGGTTGCAAGGTGCAAAGTCGGTGGTGACTCCATTGGCTCCACATTTTAGGCTCTCTGGTAAACAGTCTCCTACTACAGCGGAAGAAAAGGTACGCATGGATCGTGTGCCTTATGCTAGTGCAGTTGGCAGTTTGATGTATGCCATGGTGTGTACACACCCAGATATTTCACAGGCGGTTAGTGTGGTCAGTAGATTCATGGCGAATCCGAGAAAGGCACACTGGGAAGCCGTGAAGTGGATCCTGAGGTACTTAAAAGGTACCGCGGATACGGGTTTATGTTTTGGTGGAGATGCATGTCAGATAAGTGGGTTTGTTGACTCGGATTATGCAGGTGATCTAGATAGACAACGATCTACCACTGGATATGTGTTCTGCATACATGGTGCTCCAGTTAGTTGGCGATCGATGTTACAGGCTACAGTTGCTCTTTCTACTACAGAGGTCGAGTATATGGCCATGGCAGAGGGAGTGAAGGAAGCATTGTGGTTATGGGGTCTTCTAGATGATTTGAGGATTGAGCAGGATTGTGTGGATTTGTGGTGTGACAGCTAGAGTGCGATTCACTTGGCTAAGAATCAGGTTCATCATGCTCGAACCAAGCATATTGACGTCAGGTATCATTTTGTGCGTGATGTTATAGAGGAAGGTGATATTTCACTCTCAAAGGTACATACAAATGAGAATCCAGCTGACATGTTAACCAAAGTGGTAACGGGTAGCAAGTTTCAACATTGTTTGGACTTGCTTCACATTAGTCCATGTTGATATGCCCGAGAGGGCATGGCCCTTCGGGGCGAGGTTGAAATGAGGTGGAGTGTATATGAAGGTGAACTACGGAGGCTTGATCCCGAGTTTTGAGTACGTAGGCAATCATGGTTTGAATGGTGCAGCCGAGTTGGTGCTTGCTTCTTTTTCTTGTGTTCGTCCAAAATTTGAGGTCTATCAAATGATGTACGAAGTGGAGAATTGTGAGAAGAGAAGGAAGAGGAAGGAAGGGGAAGGGGAGGCTGGTTCTGCCGGGCGCCCAGGCGCCCAGTTTCTGCCTCCCCGGCAGAAACATGGTGCCTAGGCACCCCGAATATTAAGACAGACAGGAACCTGGCGCCTGGGCGCCCCGATAGGCTATATATATAGTCATTCTTTCCTTCCTTCATTTTAACACAAGACCTAGAGAGAAGCTTGAGAGAAAACTTGGAGAGAATTTTTACAAGATTGAAGGTTGTTCATCTTGGGTATAAATTCAAAGTTATTTTCTTTCTTGGAGATTAACTTGAGGCTTGTTCAAATAATCCAAATACATTGATCTTCATATATTCCATTGAAATCATTTCTTCCTCATTTTTCTTGTTCTTGAAGTGGTTTGGAAATTTCACATTGTCAACTTTGTTTGATCTTTGGGCTATCTTTGGGAGGTGTTTTCCCAACATTTATCGAGGTGAAATTTTCCTTAACGAATAAGAGGAAAGAGAAAAAGATGAAAAGTTCAATTTATAAACAAATTAAAATAGCTCGATAAGCAGCCACTCACCTGCATCTTCACACCAGTAACAGCACCTTTCTCCCTCCAATCAAAGCTCTCCGGCAAGCCACTCACATCTACCTCCGGTGCCACGGGTACACCGTTTCCTCCATTAGCCCACGGTGCAGCACCACCCGTACCACCGCCACCTTTGACACCCATGTACATCCTCTCAAACTCCTCCTCAGAAAGATCAGAAAACTGCGTGACACCATGGACGGCTGTGGGGTCCATCGCCTGGTGTTCTGCTGCCCTGATCAGATTTTTTGCGAAGATCCCAAGGCGGTGTACGTACTCCTCATGAGTACAGTATTCTTTCCCGTACTCCTGCATGAAATTCTTGAAGTGGTGCTCTGTGGCGGTGGCCAGTAAGTGGTTGTGAGTTTCTGTTACTTGGACAATTTTCGGGTATTCTGGGTTTGCGTGGAGGGGTGCGCAAGTTAAGAGAGCAACACCAACTGCGTATATTAGAAAGCCTCCCTTCATTGTTTGCCTCTCACTGGTTCTGCTTCCTGTTCTTTGGCTCTTGCCTCTGGCTGGTTTACATGAATTTGTAGGAATACTGCAGATTCACAGGTTGATAGTACCGTTTTGTCCCTAGAAGTAGGTGATGAGTTTTTTGTTTTTCAAATTTGACCTCGAGTGTTTTTTTTTTTTTTTAATTATTATTGTTTTTTTACACCCTTTTGAGCGGGTGATGATGAAAGGGAGATATCAATTTTTAAACGTGTAATTAAAATTAATTACTAATTTTGATTTGAATTTTAATCAAATCAAATCGAAACATGATAGTTAGAGATGGCAAAAAATCTCGTCACGAATGGGGCAAAAAACCCGCCCAGAACTGGTTGGGCCATGAAGATAAAAGATAATAATAATAATAATAAAAATAATTTTATTCTAGATAATTTAACTGTTAAAGATCCATTTTAAATTTGTATTTTATTTTTTAATTATAACATAACTCGAAATTTTGAAAATATAAATATAAAATAAAAAATTAAACGGGGTAACAAACGGGGCAAAAAGTTGCCTCGCCCCACGCCCCATCCTGCCCTGTCCCACCCCGCCCCGCCCCGTTGCCAACTCTAATAGTCGAGATAATTTTATTTTATTTTATTTATTTATTTATTTTTTGTAAATATAAATTTTAGATAAGCACAAAAATTCGAAATATTGAAAAGTACGAGTTAATTATTGAGTCCTCAAATCCATCTCCACCGTAAAGGTGTACTTCAAAATATTTATAAAGTTGAACATTTCGTAAAACCCTTCAGCTGCTTGTCCAAGAATGGAAAATAATGCAAGAAATGTTATTTTAAAGAAAAAGGAAGAAGAAAAATGTGATCATTTGAAGGGTGGTTTGGGCAATTTGGGAAATACGTACAGCGTTTGGGATTGACATATGAGGCTCTAAATCCATGCAAAATTTTGCTCCCAGACGCGACACGTGTCGTAGCTTTGGCGGCAGAGACTCCACGTGTGGGATTCTCTTTGCCACCTCCGCACCCTGTTGGACTGAAATTCAGAGGTACTTTTAACGGATTAAAATATAGGTTTTAAATTAAGTTAATCATTAATTTTAATTATGCATTTTGTGATCCATTATTTTTAAAATATATTTTTACTCCTTATTTTTAATCACACGATTTTCAATATGATAATATCACACACAAATTCAAATTTTTTTTAAAGTATAAGACCTTTATAGCCGATATTGCAAAGTCTGGAATTGAATTAAGACATTCATGTCGCACCACTTTAACTCAAAATAGACGAGCCAAGAGAAAGCACAACTCGAAATTCTTTAATCCAAGTTATTAGTGTTCAGAGAGTAAACGCATGGATGCACAATTTCCCTTTTATGATAGTCTTTGAGAAATTCATGATAAAATGACTCATGACAAATTATTTGATTGTGAAACATTTTTTTTAACCATCTTAAAAACTTTTCTTAACCATATAAAATGAACGTGCATTTATCAAATAAAAACGAAGATTTCTACGTGAATGTAAAGTGGAACAAAATTATAAGAGACGGAGCTGAAATACTCATCAATCATCCAATACAATTATCTGACATTTGTTGGGGGCAAATTCACTTATTGCAAGAGTAAATTTATCAATTCAAACAATTAACTATGGTGATTAAATATGCAAATAGTTGATAAAAAAAGAGAGAGAGAGAGAGAGAGAATACAACACCAAATTTTACGTGAAAAAAAACCACGGGGTAATTCTGGCCATATTCAAGTTATTGTTCCTGGAGTATAAGTTTCTCCTTCGAAACAATCCGACAGAATTATCTTACGTAATTTTGAACAGCGTAAATATACAATCAACAGGATCAGAAAAGTTAATTCGAGCACACCGACTTCACGATATTTCCTTAAAATGAATTTGCTGCCTTCAACTGTGCTAAAAGCGTCCAGCAATCGTTTCTCATGATAGAATGAATTTCGTCTCCTACGAAAGCAGCACAGCAATCTGCAAGAGTTCCAACGAACGAAACGAAGTGTTTTAACTTCGAAAATAATATCAGAACGAGAGAGAGGGAGGATGAGATTCAATGCAGAGAATTTTTACAATGAAAATGGTTTATTTTTTTCTAGCAGTTGGGCAGGCTATTTATCGACTTGTTTGTGGCCATTCGAACATCCTCCCGAATAGTCGTCACTGTTCAGGCAACTTTCAAAACTCGAACAGATATGTTCGTTCGATACTGCGCCGATTTAGTCTGTTAACAATCGACTGTTTAGACGGCTAACAGTCGATTGTTTGGTCGGTTAATAGACGAGTGTTTAACACGCCATCCAGACCAAGAACAATTACCCGAAAATAAGCCAAAATTAATTTCATTAAGTACCCGAGAATTTGATTATTTACAGTTTGGCCCAAAAAATTCAAATAAATTGTCCAAAAAAAATTAATATAGCGCAAGGACCCACCCGCACCTGAACACGAACGGAACCAGACTCGGGCCCAGGCACGTGCTCGTGCCATGTTGAGCTGAGTCGATCGATTGGTCAGACTGACAGAGGCGACGACGCGTGCGTGTGGGTTTATGACCGAACCCGATAAAATATAGGTCTCCCCCTTCCAAAAATTATTGGTACCCCTTGGGGCCCAAACCCAATTCTCAAACTTTCACCATATAAACCATACCAAAGTCTCATAACTTTCCTATGTGGGATAAATGTTTGGCAAATTAAATTCTTCCATGATTTATAGTTTTAAGTGAGTTACTTTGACATTCAATATTTCATTCAATTCTAAATGATTTTCGACGAATAAATATATTACGTTAATCATCTCGTAGAGTAGAACGTGAATACGCTAGGTCCCGAATTAATTAAAGTGTGGGTCCTATTGAAATTTGAGCTCAAAATTCATCCATTTTACTAACCATTTTCCAACAATACTTCACATGAATGAAATATGTCGGCCTTTTTCAAACAATATTTGATATGTTTATCGAAGTAAAATTGAAGAAAATTGCATTGAGATAAGTAGACTTTGAACTTTTTCAAGTAAAATCTATCGGATTTACTTAGCCAATCAGTAGCAAGTTGCTTTGAACAGTCAGCCGTGCACGTAAACACTAACAATAGAATTCACACAGTTCTCTTCGAACACAGTTGGTTCTCACGTTTGTGTCCATTTTGGCCTTGGACACCTCCTAGTTCATGATTGTTTTAGAGAACTCATCTTCACTTAATTCTTTTAGAAGCGGCCCCTTCTCACCCACATAGATGGTTTCTATAAAGAGTATTCTACTATACTCCACTTAAACGAATCAAGATACAGAAACCATTAAAAGCGTAACTTAACCTATTTCGCAGCAGTTAGGCACTGACTCATTATAGGAATGGGTAGGAGTAAAAATCTCTCCAATGCGTACTAAGTTTTCCACAGTTCGGTTGTCCCAATGAACCTAGATCTTGGGATCTCCAGTCAACTAGGTTGTCTTGCCACCATGGAAACTTTTGATTATTTTATAGGTTTTAATTACATCCCCTTCGATGAATTTTCGACTTGCTTCTTGTTAAACTTTTAGTTAGTAGATCCGCAATATTCTCTTTTAACTTCACATAATCTGTAGAGATAATGTCAATAGAGAGCAATTGTCTAACAATATTATGTCTACAACGTATATGTCAAGATTTACCATTGTACATCACATTCTGTGCCCTACCAATTACTGATTAACTATCACAATGGATACATATAGCAGACACATATTTTATACAACATAGAATATCTTCTAGAAAGCTTCGTAGCCATTCGGCTTCTTCTCCAGCTTTGTCTAACGCAATGAATTCGGATTCCATCATTGATCTAGCTATACACGTTTGTTTTGAAGATTTCCATGATACTGTAGCACCTCCAAGTGTAAAAATATATCCACTTGTTGAGTTGGAATCTTTAGTATCCGATATCCAATTTGCATCACTATATCATTTAAGTACTGCTGGATATCTTGAATAGTGCAATCCAAAGTTTTTGGTATGTTTTAAATACCCGAAAACTCTGACAATTGCCTTCCAATGTTAAGTGTTTGGATTGCTCGTATATCGAATTAGTCTACTAATGGAATAAATAATATCAGGTCATGTGCAGTTCATGACATACATTAAACTTCCAATAATACGAGAATATTCTAATTGAGACTTACTAACACCAGTATTAGAAACAAGATGCATATTAACATCCATAGGTGTTTTCATAGGGATAATATCATATTTCTTGAATTTATTAAGAATCTTCTCAATGTAGTGTTATTGAGATAATATGAGACCATCAGATGTTTTAGAAATTTTAATTCCTAATATAACATCGGCCACACATAAATCCTTCATTTCAAATTTACTTGTTAGCATTCTTTTTGTAGTTTAAATTATGATATCATTGTTACCCATAATTAACATGTCATCTACGTATAAACATACCATGACGTAACCATTTTGAGTGTTCTTAATATAAATACATTTTTCACACTCATTAATTTTGAAACCATTTGACATCATAATCGTGTAAAAAATTTCATATCATTTCTTAGGAGCCTGCTTTAATCCACAAAGTGATTTAACAAGCCGACATACTTTCTTTTCTTGTTCTGAGGCCACAAATCCTTTAGATTGATCCATATAGATTTCTTCATCTAATTTACCGTTCAAGAAAGCCGTTTTAACATCCATTTGATATATATCCAAACCATTCAACGCTGCTATCACAATAAGCATACATATGGAAGTGATTATTGTCACATGAGAATAAGTATCGAAATAATCAAGACCTCCTTTTTGCTTTTAGCCTTTCGCGACAAGTCTAGCGTTATATTTGTCAATTGATCCATCTGCTTTCATTTTTCTTTTGAAAATCCATTTACATCCCAATAGTTTATTATCGGGAGGAATGTTTACTAATTTTTATGTATGATTTTGTAGTATGAATTTAATTTCACTATGCACAGCTTCTTTCTAATATTAAACTTCGGTCGATGACATAGCCTTTTTAAAACTTTGAGATTTATTTTCTAACAAATATGTTAGAAAGTT